CCACATGGTCCCTGTTGTGTTCATTGAAAAAAAACTTGTTTTTTGTCTTGTTCTATAACAACTTGAGTCTGCTTTGGAATACATGTAAAAGGTCATACATTTTTGCAAGTCATGGAAATCACAAAATTATTTTGAGTGAACATTTCACCGGGGTACTACAAACAAGGCAAGACAGTAACTTTCACAAAATATTGTCCTCATGAACGTTATTATGAATCATGAAATTACAATAATTCATGGTAGTTAAAATTAAATTCATCTGACTCAAGGTGTTTTTTGAGATCAAATTTGTGTGCTACAAGAGACTGTTTGTGACTATAATGTATTGCTATGTTTTTTTACAGCTGCGACCAATGTTTTACAACGCGGACATGAATTTGGTGGTGAATCATTGGTGGTAAGGCACTGTCCTATTGAAATGGAACCTGATTTTGAAGACTCTGATGTGAGTGACAGCTCCAGTGATGATGAAATCGTGTCTCCTGCTAATGTTGATTCATCCAGCCAACCCCTTAATACTGTGGGTATGAGATATGACAAACCTAAGCCATTGTCAACATATTATGATTCGGATGATGACAGCGATGTTGAGCAGCCAACTGACAGTTTATGCAGTCATTTTCTCAACACTGTGCAGACACGAAGTGCCGATGATAACGACATGGGTCTCGATTTTGTGCAGCAAGAGCAACAGCGCTTACTTACCTTAACAGTTAAGAAAAACCAACAAAAACAAGCTGAGATGCTATATCGCTCTCAACTAGCAAAGAAGAATCTATCAACAGCAGAGGAACCAATTAAATTAAGAGAAGTTAGCACAATGGAAGAAGGGAAAGCTGAAGAAGAAGAGATGGAGGGAATTGCAGCAGAAAAAGGTCCATCAATGAATGTACAGGACAGAGTAAAAGTGGAAGAATATGGTAGACTGAAAATTGTAGAAACTCAACCCAATGATGGTTCAGATATAATCAGTGAGGATATGACTGGAACTTTTGTGTGTATACCTGGAACTGGTGAGGATATGACTGGAACTGGTGAAGGTGTGACTGGAACTGGTGAGGGTATGACTGGAACCGGTGGGGATATGACTGGAACTGATGGAGATATGATTGGAACCGGTGAGGGTATCACTGGAACTGGTGAGGGTATGACTGGAACTGGTGAAGGTATGACTGGAACTGGTGGGGATATGACTGGAACTGGTGAAGATATGACTGGAACTAGTGGGGATATGACTGGAACTGGTGAGAGTGTGACTGGAATTGGTGGGGATATGACTGGAACTGGTGAAGATATGACTGGAACTGGTGGGGATATGACTGGAACTGGTGAAGATATGACTGGAACTGGTGGAGATATGACTGGAACTGGTGAAGATATGACTGGAACTGGTGGAGATATGACTGGAACTGGTGAAGATATGACTGGAACTGGTGGAAATATGACTGGAACTGGTGAAGATATGACTGGAACCGGTGGAGATATGACTGGAACTGGTGAAGATATGACTGGAACTGGTGGAAATATGACTGGAACTGGTGGAGATATGACTGGAACTGGTGGAGATATGACTGGAACCGGTGGAGATATGACTGGAACTGGTGAAGATATGACTGGAACTGGTGGAAATATGACTGGAACCGGTGGAGATATGACTGGAACTGGTGGAGATATGACTGGAACCGGTGGAGATATGACTGGAACTGGTGAAGATATGACTGGAACAGGTGGAGATATGACTGGAACCGGTGGAGATATGACTGGAACAGGTGGAGATATGACTGGAACTGGTGGAGATATGACTGGAACCGGTGGAGATATGACTGGAACCGCCGGAGATATGACTGGAACTGGTGGAGATATGACTGGAACCGGTGGAGATATGACTGGAACAGGTGGAGATATGACTGGAACTGGTGGAGATATGACTGGAACCGGTGGAGATATGACTGGAACTGGTGGAGATATGACTGGAACTGGTGAAGATATGACTGGAACCGGTGGAGATATGACTGGAACCGGTGGAGATATGACTGGAACAGGTGGAGATATGACTGGAACTGGTGGAGATATGACTGGAACAGGTGGAGATATGACTGGAACCGGTGGAGATATGACTGGAACCGGTGGGGATATGACTGGAACTGGTGGAGATATGACTGGAACCGGTGGGGATATGACTGCAAGTGATGAGGATAACTTTTGTGGATGGGATATCATAGACTATAGCGATGATGACGTAACACAAACCAATGATAGTGATAACGAGGAACAACCAAGATCTGGTATCAGAGAGAATATAATCAATGTTGATGTGGTAGAAGACGAGAATGATGGGAACAGTGATGAAAATCGTCATGGTGATAATCACCACGGTCTGGAGGAAGAACATAGTGATAGTCTACATGGTGAAACTATGAGCAGAATAGATGATAATTTTTATGAGATGCCAATAGATGTGAGAGGAGTTGTGTACAGAAACCAACACAATGCTAATGATGAGGAGAAGGTAGATGATGAAAAGATGGACTTTGAGGAACGTAAACAGTCACAACTAGAGGTAAAAGATTGTAATGCTGATAATGTTGTTGAAGATGAGGCGGTTGTCATGGAGAAAATGGATGATAGTGGTTCATTTGACGTATTGAATCAAAATGAAAATGAAAAATCTTCAGAGAAATCGCCACAGGAATGCTCACCACCAGACCAAAAACCTGCACATTCTAGATTTAAACTTGCTGCGTATTTCCCACAACACAGTACTGATGAAAATAATTCTGCGTGGGATTACCATGCATTTACTCAGGACCCTGGTGTTAATTATAGTGATCCAAATATCAGCTGCTCTATGTACTCAGGTTAGTATAATCTGTTCATAATATAGCATGGATGATATATAACATTTTTCAGGATTTACTTGAAAATCTAAAAATCTAGTTAGATTCAATCGGGCTGAAAATACTAGTAAAACGTGTATAAAATGTCCTGTGAATAAATGAACTCTATCTCATTCAAATCTTCTTTTGTGAGATTTTGAGTGTGTTCATGATTGAACTGTAAGGGTGCTATTTATCATATTGTTTGTGATCTTGCATTGTTAGCAAATGTTTTAAAAAGTGTTTTAAATGTGCCTTTGAAATGATTGTGAGTTTTTATACTTCTATTTTTGTGATGTCCAAAAGCTATCCCCAAGTTATCTTGGATTTAAAAAAAACAGTTTGTTACCACTTTTTGAAAAATATTGAATTTTTAACATTCATAAGCTATATTAGTTACGGACTGGAATACTATTATTTGACCTCAGATTTCGAAATCTTGCTGGAAATAAACATTTTGCATGCACAAAAAAATCCAATTTCTCCATTCAATGGTTAAATTTCCACTTAAAGTCAAAGAAGTGTTATTTACAATGGGACAATATTTTGGAATTCATTGTAAGCCTCACAAAATAAATTTAAAACAAAAAAAGAGAAAAACTTCTTTTTAATTGTTCAGTTGTATAAAACGTGTCAAACTATCGTTATTACCATGTGGATACATATATTTTTCAGGTTATTTAACCATAACTTCGCTTCTGTTTATCAGATTTATTTCATTGTTGTATGTAATTATCAGTGTTTATTATCTCCAGTTATGTTGTCAAGATTGAGTAGTTGTAGTCAAAGTTTCTATAGATTTATGCTGTTTTCCTGACGCAAAGAAACACACTTTGGCCTGTATTCAGCCATTTCTATCAGTTTACATAAGTGTATTCTCCCTGATTGGTTCAATTAAAACAACCAATCATATTAATTGACGCCAAGGATTAAAATTCTAAAGTGTGAATCCAGCCTTGTCTTTAAATTGACAATTCTTTGTACTCCAAGTGATACATTGTTCTCAATCGTCCTAGTGTATGTAGTTTTCAACTAGCTTTATCTCGTTCCTGCACAACTGAATAAATGCGTGTTCACCATTAGAACATTGCACACTGGTATACCGTCTACTGCTTGATGTATCTACCGTCTATCTGGTGAGATTTAAAGATCCAATACTGTTTGTGGCAGTTTCCCCCACACAAACCAATTCTTCTTGATAAGTTAAAACATAATTACCGTACTATATCAAATACAGTGATTTTAATACCATGTTTTTCATCATACTATTAAAGTGAGTTTTTCTATCGTACTAATTAATGTACTAATAAATGTAATACTTTATGAAATAAATATAATAAAATCTTGATGTTTATTTATTCTACCTTTAATTTCAAATAGAATATGAAGTATTGCCTCCTGTAGAAGCAAAAATGGAAAAAAGACCGGAATCATTTACAATGCAATCATATTCTTCATCTTCATCTGATGATGATTACACCAGAGAGGACATGGACAGAAAGAAAGGACAATATGATTGGGAAGAAAAAAGCAGTGATGGGAGCTCCATTGTTGTTATACAAGATCAAGAACATATGAAAGAGTCAAAAGAAGATTCAGATTTAGATGAGGAGGATGTTGAAAATACGATTGAGGTCACAGATTTCTCTGCCAACACAACAGCAGAGCTTCTCGAAATGTATTTTGAAAACCGCAGAAAAAGTGGTGGTGGAAAAGTATTAAAAGTGGAGATTGCATCAGAGAAAGCGTATGTTACATTTGAAGATCCCAAAGGTAGGTATATCAAATGACAGTTGAAAAAGTTGACCAGTTACAACAAGAAAATTGGTCTCGCAAAATTAAAGTATACAGATGATAAGTGTATATTCTTGGGGACGGAGCTACGTCACAAGACGTTCTACGTTACTACGCCAGGCACCACTGTACATGCATTTCTATGGACTCTGTGTGCGCTGCTGTGGAACGCCGGTCGAGTCGGTGAAAATTTGAGAAAACAACACAAACTTAACTTTGAAGTAATCCTGAACAACAAAATTTATATATGTTACACACGTAGGGCTAATTTTGTTACACTGTTCAGAGGAGTCTCAACAAACATCCCAAAGTACCGTTTTCTGCGAGTTTTGGGCCTTTGTTTTCACCGCTAGGGTTGCCAGGCGGTGAAAATACCCGGATGTCCGCCCCGAGGATAGAAAAGAATGGAATGATTTGGAAGACTATTAATGTCCGACAATAACAAGCCAAATTTTAGCTCCAAATGCTTGTTCGCATTCACTGCGACTGATCTATGTGAACTATTTATTAAAATCTTGATGCATACAATTCACATGCTACATTATATATCATTTGTATTTTTAATAAATCAATAATTTGAATTAAAACTGCTCAGTGAAATTCACTAGTTTGGTATTCCCTGTTACATAATATTTAAGCATGTAATAAAATTACTAAACTTGATTGTTTTTAGTAATTGACACTGTACTACAGAAAACTCATCTACTGAATAAGTGTAATCTCAAAGTGAGAATAGCACCACCCTTACCACCCAGAGACAAGAGGAAAGTTGTAGTCAAGGTAACAATAGCAGATTTGTTTTGATATTTGAATATTACGTGTACTATGTATTAAACTCATTAATAATTCATAGTCTTACCTAAACATGTCATCATGTCACTGTGCTCTTATTTAAAAGTTTTGTTAACTATACAATGTATGTTAATAACAATGATGTAAGCAGCTTTAGCATCATATGTTCCGAATTCAATCATGTTTTAGCAAATGTTACAAGGCATCCATTAGGCCAAAAAAAACAACAACTTATGTTGCCCTCAAGTCGGAAAATTGAAAAATTGGGTCGGTCGGTCGGATTTTTTTTTTAAACTCGTGAAAACTAAGGGTATCGTGAATAGCTGAGGTATATGGGGAAAAAAACCCGTGACCCGATATTTCATATTTTTCGGTCGGTCGCTGAGGGCAACTTTAGTCCACTCTTTAATATGTCTCTCGCTATATGCATAAAGCTGAATGCTGATTGGATAATGTGATCATTTTGAAATTATATCCATCTGCTACATTGACGTCAAAATTACAACGGTTACAATTACCACTTTGCGTGTAATAGTTAAGTCTTGTTTTTAAATTTAAGAATATATCGGAGAAAACTACAAGAGATGGGCTTGAGCTATATATGGAGAATATTAGTGGTTGCGATGTCGAAAAAATAGAAAACGCCTTAGAAGCTGATGTTGCTATGGTAACATTTAAAAGCCCACCAGGTAATGAACAGAATATTCTAGATATTCTATAATTCAAATAATTCTTTTCAAAAATCAAGAATGATGGTATGATGTAATGTGATATAAAGTTATTTATTAAACCATAGACTTTCTTATAGAGGGTCTATGATTAAACACAGCGAGGTCCCACCTCTCCCTGCTATGTGCCAGTGAAGTCCCTCCCCACCCCGAACAAAGTGATACATTGTAGGTATTTTTCAACTTGATGCAAACTTATTTAATGTGATTTTATCGACAAAAAATTGGCCTTTATTTATAGTAGACATACAGACACTTGTGTTAAAAGTGTTCATGAAGACAGTATTGTTTGTTTGTTATTTATTTCAGATTATGACAAAATGTTTGATAAGATATCAAAGCGAGCACTCGATGGTAGTTTCCTGTATTTACATCCAGTATCAGTGACAAATTCTATTCTAGTAGCTGGTATCAGTCAGTCCACGAGTACGGACACTTTGGAGTTATATTTTGAGAATAAACGACGAAGTGGTGGTGGTGATGTTCAAGATACGAGTTATGATTCAGATACCAACACAGCAGTTGTACAATTTGAGGATCCTAAAGGTGAATGTAATGCCATTACAACATTAAAACTTTCATTGTCAAGTTTTAAGCTCAATAGACTACAGGTTTGCTGAGCTATACCGATGATGCTGTGTCTGGCGTCTGTCTGTTTGGATGTCTTGATGTTGGCACTGAACCGTTTGAATTGATTTTTATTGTGTAGCTTTGATAAGTGTAGATTGTTCATGAGAAGTCCAAAATTATTCAAATTATTTACCAAAACTATAAAAACGCTTGAATGACTTTTACTATGACATTATTAGGACTACTGTGCTGATATTGATAATGCACATGCATTCCCTATTTTTGGCAAATATTTTTAGTGAATATTTTTGCCATTTTTGGTAAAACATGCTATTCTTGACTTCTTCTTGAAAATTGGTATTTAAGTATTGTTCATTTTGTGGCGATTCTCAGTTTTTCGTGAAAAAATGCTATTTTCAACTTTTTGAAAAATACCAGCTACATGTAGTTGCTTTGATACTTGGTATGTAGGTGACTTGGGTGGACCTTTGTCAGATTTATGCATTTGATGATAGTATTTTCTATTTACATTTTTAGCAAATATTTTTGTCATTTTCAGTAAAAATTGCTATTTTTGACATTTTCTTGAAAAATACCAGCTTAATTACTTGGCATGGTTTGTAACAAGTTGATAACAATTGCAATTTCCATAGCAACAACCATATAAACTTACCATGGCTATGATTTAAAACATTATGGTAACAATAACCATGACAAATCACTATAAAATAATAAATATATCACCACATAGAACATTATCAACTTTATTTTGAGGAAGACACTCTACAAAGACAGTTGGAGCTATTTAAACCATGAGGTTGCTTGTTTTAGTCTGGGGCAAATCAATAATAACTCTGAAGCTGATAAAGTTTTGATGGAAATCCACTAAATCTAAATTTGGGAATAATAATGATCGGTTTTTAATATATTCAACATATTCTTGCCTGAAGCAAGTGCAGTAATCTGCATATGACAAGGTGTGTATTTATTGGTGTGTGCAAGGCACAAAGTGGGAGTCAATGAAATTTACTTCATCTGTGCAGGTATCTGTATGGATGTCTGTGTGTCTGTTCCACTAATATCTCAAGAACCAATCATTGGATTTTGTTGATGGTTTGTGGTAATGCAGACCTGATAAGGTTTTGGTGGAATTCTGTGTATGTTACTGATATATTTATATTATAGTGTTTTGCACTACTCTACTTTCAAATGAAATGCCATTCTGTTTTGGCAAATCCATTGAACGTCAGGCCAATTTGTTTGTTAAATTTAGACCAATCATTGGATTTTGTTGATGGTTTGTGGTAATGCAGACCTGATAAGCTTTTGGTGGAATTCTGTGTACATTACTGATATATTTATATTATAGTGTTTTGCACTACTCTACTTTCAAATGAAATGCCATTCTGTTTTGGCAAATCCATTGAATGTCAGGCCAATTTGTTTGTTAAATTTGGACCAAGTGGGTGTAATTTCTCATTAGCTACAGGTTTTGATTGAAATTTGTGAAAAAATTTTGTGTACTGGTATTCAGTTTGTGAAAGATGACAACTAGTTGACCTGAAAGACTTGTGTACTGGTATTCAGTTTGTGAAAGATGACAACTAGTTGACCTGAAAGACTTAGCAATAGGAAATTATGTTCATTTGGTCAAGAAAAAACATAAATGTCTTACTGGTAAATGTTGCCCAAAACTTTGGCGAGAAATGATGGTGCTGAAATTGTTAAACACTAAATTATGTTTTCATTGGAAGTTTTTACTTAACAGAAACTATAATTTATATTTATCCTCCAGTTGTAGAGAATGTTTGTCAGAATCGTCATATACTGAATGGTGCTGACCTTACTGTAGTTGCTTATCATGAGTGTTTTGGTCCACCAGCCTGCATGAGTGAATTCTTCAAACCAAATTTACCTGATCCCTTCACAATAGAGGTTGATCCAAACATTATTGAATTCATTAAAAACGCTGGATGCCAACGAGTCAGTGATTTTGACGAGATGATGAAACTACTTAAGGTGTCTTTAATTTGGGATGGTGATAAAAATGAGGTCGTCGTCATGCCAACTTTGACCCTT